GAACAGGCAAAAAGACTCAAGGTATTTAACCACATAGATAAATTACAACCAGACATATGCTTCTTACAGGAAACACACACATCTGAATCTGATCATCATAAATTAATAACACCACAGTTCAATAAAGTATTCTCTGCCCATTTTAACTCCAGACAGAAAGGAGTAGCCATATTAATACACAAGAAAATCTCATTTATCCATAACAGCACAGTAACAGATCATGAAGGAAGATTTATCATCATAAACATCTCCATAAATAACACCCCCTTTACTATTGCATCTGTCTATGGTCCAAATAATATTGATCCTTCTTTTTTTAACACATTTTTTTACCTCTCTCTACAATATGTCTGACTCCCTGGTAATTATTGGAGGAGACTTCAGTACAGTCTTAAACCCATCACTTAACAGATCTAACAACTCAAATAATACACGTAACTCCCAATCCACAGAAACAATAAAACAGTTCATGAGTGACTTGGCGATGGTTACCGGCTACAACACCCAAACACCAAAAAATGTACATTCTATTCTCTGGTTCACCACTCCTACTCTCGCATTGACTTCTTCATTTCTAGCAACTCAATTATTTCCAAAATATCTGACACACAAATACACTCCATTACCATCAGTGATCATGCTCCTGTCTCCCTCACCTTGAATACTACCCACTCTCACAAACCACCCAGCAGATGGCGCTTTAACCTATCACTACTCAATGACCCAAACTTTGACAGTCACATCAAAAGAGAGTGGGCATCCTTTCTTGAAATGAACGATTCACCAAAAACAGCACCATTACTTCTCTCGGAAACAGGCAAAGCAGTGTTAAGAGGAAAAATCATTTCATACTCCACATACAAGAAAAAGAAAGACAGTGAAGAGGAAAAATTATTAGAGGAAAAAATGAAAGAATTAGAGAACGTAAACAACCCCACATCAGAAACTGAAAACGATTTACAGAAATACAGATTAAAACTAAATGACCACATCAACAGTAAGACTGCATTCCTCATACACAGACATGAACACTTTGAACATTGCAATAAATCCGATAAATATCTGGCAAACCAAATTAAACGAAATATAGAAAAATCAACAATTACTTCACTCACGAACTCAGGTCCTGACGGCTTCCCTGCTGAGTTTTATAAACACTTCTGGAATATTCTAGCACCCATTTTCAACAGATTAACAGCAGAAATCAAACAAAAATCTAAACTTCCCACAAACATGAACACTGCTTTAATATGCCTCCTACTCAAACCCGATAAAGACCCCACCTCCCCATCAAACCACCGTCCCCTATCCCTCATCAACACAGACACAAAAATTATTAGTAAGGCACTAGCATCACGTATAGAAAAAGTAATTCCATCCATCATCCACCCAGACCAAACCGGCTTTATTAAAGGAAGACACTCATCCATCAATCTACGCAGACTCTTCAATCTAATCCAATATACAACCCTCACACACTCACCACCGGTCATACTCTCTTTGGACACTGAAAAAGCATTTGATAAAGTTAATTGGGAATTTTGATTTGCTGCACTTAAAAAATGTGGTTTTGGAGATTATTTTATTCACTGGGTGAGGGTTCTTTACACAACACCTATGGCCACAATCAAAACCAATGGAATCACTTCACACCGTTTCACTTTGCACAGGGGCAGGAGACAAGGATGCCCACTCTCTCCTTCGCTATTCGCTATTTTTATTGAACCATGCTGCAGCCATCCGCCAAAAACAAAGCATCACAGGAATCAAAACACAAAATATGCACCATAAAATCAGCCTTTATGCAGACGACATTCTCCTTTATCTACAAAAATCATCATCCATACCTGAAACCATTAATCTCATAAACACTTTCTCAAAAATCTCAGACTACACTATAAACTGGTCCAAATCAACTATTCTCCCTCTCAGCCCAAATAGTTGGGATGTGGCAACGAAAACCTCACCAAACTCCCTGCGCACCGCTAACATCACTTATTTAGGAATGAATATTTCCCCCAGGCTGTCAGAGTTAATTAGTTTCAACTTCAACCCCCTTCTCAAGACAATAAATGATGACCTCCACCGCTGGATGACCCTACCGCTATCACTCATAGGTAGAATTGCTACAATACAAATGACCATATTACCCAAAATTAACTACCTCTTCTCTATGATCCCAACAAAGCCCCCACAATCCTGGTTCAAATCCCTTGACTCGATCACTACAACATTTTATTGGAAAAACAAAACGGCCAGAATTAAATTAGAAACACTACAAAAACCCAAACCCCAAGGAGGTCTACAAGCACCTAACTTTTTCCACTACTTCATTGCCCACCAACTACAATACATTCACAAATGGACCAATCCCATTGAATCTGACAACTCCTGGAAAGACATTGAACAAACATTATGCAAAGAAATCAACATATTAGACCTTCCTTTCATTAGCCCCTCTATCAAACGCCACCCCTGTTTTAAAATCCCTACCATAGCAACAACTCTGACAGCCTGGTGGACATTTCACCAAATTACTCACACCACTATTTCTTACACCAAACAAACCCCAATTTGGAACAACTCGGACTTTACAATAAACAGAAAATCACTCCAGCTCCCAGCATGGATCACTAAAGGCATCACATACCTCAAGCACATTTTTCATATCAACACTCTTGCCTCATTCCCTCGTTTGGTTCAGAAGTTTGGCATTGAGGAACAGCCCTTTTTAGAATATCATCAAATTCATTCTTCTATAAAAAGCAAAATCAATATTATCACATCCAACTTTGAACTTCCACCACTTACCACAGACATAATCAATATCAAAACAAGGAAAAAACTATTATCTAAAACCTACAAAATAATCTTGAAATCTGACCAAACAGTATCCCTACCCTTCACAAAATGGGAAACTGACCTCCAGATAGCCCCCAATGCCCACTTCTGGACCCAAATCTGCAGAAACATATCAAACAATACAACCCTACAACTCATACAATACAAGATTATAAGAAAAACTAACTGCCTCACTCAGAAAACATACTGCTGAATTTGAATCTGTCTGGAACCTAATAATCAACAACCTCAACTCATAACTAACTCACACCCAACACACACACACACACACACACACACACACACACACACAATTTACAAGTGACTGCATTTTCATACACTTTTATTTTTTCCACCTGGCCCCCATAGTCTCTTATCTGATTCGCCCTTTTCTCTTTCTCTTTTTTAGCTGTTCACCTTCCTTTACATAAAACCAGTCCTCTGAAATATAATTTCACATTTTCCCCAATTTGTATTATTATAATCATTATTATTACGTTGCTGAATTTCGTCCTTGTTTTTTTTATTATCTTTGTGTGACTTCCGTGGATAATACATCAATGGTCTCTCTCAACACTTCTGCCTTATTTCATTTAATACCGTGTTATATTTCATCTTTCTTGAACTGTGACATACTATTATTATTTTTTTATTTTTTTTTACTTAATTTTATTATAATCATTATTAGATACGAAACATAGTATTCTTATTTTCTTGTCATTCCTATGTTCAAAATGCCTAGGATTTTTTCTATCTGAATTAACACGTTACGTGGAAACTGTCAAAAGTGAGAGGCAGAAACGTACCTTATTGGATCAACTCTGAAATCATATCTTGGACTCAAGTACGGAATGCCAGGTCTAATTATTATAAACAATGTCTGAGTAATAATTTCAAAAATCCAAAACAATTCTGGAGCAAAATAAAAAGCATTCTTTATACGTCATACAATTGAAGTGTTACTCAGCTAGGGGTTGCTGATACAATATTGAATCACTTATTGCATGCTCTTTCAATCAGCACTTCTGTGTCTGTTCCAACTCCATTCTAACCCCATTTCAGTTTCTCAAAGTTATTTTGACTTTCATAATAGCTCCTTTAGATGTCCAAAATGCCATTCAGGATTTGAAAGAGCGCAGTGGTCCTGGACTTGAAGGAATTGAAGGAAGTTCATCAAAATGGCGCCTCATATACTAATGTATTCATGCTGATCTCTTTAATCTCTCATTATGCACTTACAAAATACCAGCTGCCTGGAAAACTACCGATATTACTACTCTTCTTAAGGGTGGTGAAAAAGTCAACATGAATAATTATAGAACAATCTCAATTATCTGCTCCATTGCCAAAGTATTTTAAACAATATTTATGATCAATTATCACATTACCTTAACAATAATAATATCATTTCTCATTTTTTGAAACAGAGGAGGGAAACCTCTGTTTAAAATAATACTTGCTTAGGTGTGGAGTAGGCCAAAACCTCAACTCAAAATCTAACTGAAAAGATTCCTCCATAACTTTTCACCTGCCCCCACTTCCCCTACACTTACTACAGCCAGCAGAGTGATAAGGTTGAGTGAGGCCACCTGTGCCTAATTGGACAGTGTGGAGCCTTCAGTTTGTGTAGGGTTTCTTGTTTCTACATAAAAAGGTTGAATAAAACAAGTCTCATGTTTACTATTGTTAGATGGTAGTCAGCTTTAGCTTCCCATTTGAATTATTGTTGTGATATTTTTCTCTTTAAAGATTGTTGTGTCAGTGGGAATTTAGTTTTTTGGTTTGCTCGAATTAGGGCGGGGCCAAGAGAAGCAGTAGAGGAACAAACCAAAACAAAGGCTGTTTTTTCAGTTTATTTAGTCTAGCTGTTTTTTTATCAATTTATCTGCCCTTTACTTTAAAACAGACATTGATCATATCATTAAAGAAGTAAACGTTTGTGCTGGTGCTTTATATCGTTCTAGACATTGTTTCACATTAAATGTTAAATGTTAAATGTTTTGTATTGATGTGTTGTACTTTTGTGTTTGTTAAGGTTTTTTTGGGACCCCCTTGAAAATGAGATGATACACCTCAAGCGGTTTATCCTTGTCAAATCACAAGAGAAAAATTGTATAAATACACAGACTAATAATCTTTGGTTTTTGGGCTCTCTACAGGGTTCCTACTGGGCCATAGACACCAATCCTAAAGAAGACACAGTACCCAGCAGGCCAAAGAAGAGACCACGCTCTGGAGAAAGGGTAGGTTGGAGCTGCATTTGTTAACAGTTACCCCCCTGTATCCCCATGTATATAACACAGTTTGACCTATTACCCATCTGTGAACATGGAGGAGGCCAAGCTTATGACTGCAGCCAGTTGGTAGGGGGAGCACCAAATGTTTTGGCTTCACTTTTTGGATGATGCAATGCCGTTCATCTTTCATGTAGTTGCTAGCCGTATCTCATTTCAGAGGGTAGCACCCTTCAAAGGACCCAGCCTAAGAAGGATCCAGCCCCAGTAGTCTGTATAGACCCCCAGCTGCAGTCCGACAGCACCATGGTTTTTCTCTGACGGACTGTGTGCCCTGTCACTAACCTGTGTGTGTGTGTGTGAGAGGAATAGAGAGGAGACATCGGAGAAGAAGTTTGGAGAGTTTTATTTTAGCGGTAGTTTAGTTAAAAACATTGCCTGTATTTCCTCTGTTATTTCAAAATGTTAAAAACATGTTGATAATATTGTTTGATTGTTAATCGATTTTAATGTTGAATCATACTGTACATAGTTCGCCCTTGTGAAACACTTTGTTTTGAAAAGTGCCGTAGGCCTATACCGATAAATACGGTATGTTAATTATTATTATAATTATTAATACAACAGGTGTTTAATTCAATGTGTTTTAAATATTGTTATTTTCAAATAAAATGAAGTTCTTTAAAAAAAAGTTCTTTATAAAAACAAGATCTGGTCTGCAAATCTTTTTTTTCTAAATATGAGTGTTGAAAAACGGAGGTCGTCTTATAATCAGGGTCGTCTTATATTCGGACCAATACGGTACTTACTATATTCACCGTATTGGCTTTTTTTTACTTTATTAATGGGAATTCCAGAAACTCCCCAGAAAACAAAGTTACAAGCAACAGGGTACATGTATCAACACACAAGTTGTAATTTATAGTGTTCTGGGAAAATTGACTGATGACAGCTGATAAAAATAACCCTGACGCAAGCTGTATAAGGTGGCTGGGATAAGTCATCAATCATGAGATCTGTATTTGAAGAAGTGAGCTTCTTGATGTTTTATGTCACCATCGTCTGCCTACATTTCTGTTGTTTGTCACGTCATAAATAGACTAAAATTTCATTTTTTTCTTTAAACCAAAGTATCAGATTAATTATATATAATTTTAAACATTCATGTTATTTTTGTACCATCTCAGTTGATCTAAAATTAACCATGGAATCCACTCCATGTTTGACAAAAGTGCAACTATTACAGTACATATCTGAAAATAATGGGAAGAAAATTTACAGAATAAATTTACTCTATAAATGGCAAAAATGCTCCAGACATTTTCCAATTATAAGTCTGGCTCTTACAGACCACAACTGAGATACTGTAAGTCAGAGGTCGGACAAAGTCATTATTTTGCAAGTCACAGGTAAGTCTAAAGTCTTTGGTCTTAAGTCTGGAGTCCAGTCCCAAGTAAAGACAGGCAAGTTCCAAGTCGAGTCAAAAGTCCTAAAGTTTGAATTTTGAGTCCTAAACAAGTCATTAGCTCTCTTCACCAAATGAAAGGCCATTCTTACAGACTATTAATCAGTTACATTTACACAAATCATGATTGCTATTTGAATTATTTTATTTAGCTTATTTCTTAAAATAAAATAACAATACCAGTGTGACTGGCTGTTTTATTTTTTCCCTAAATGTAATTTTTGGATGTTTATTTTTTTTACAGGCGAGCAGACAGCTCTATTTTTAGAGGTAGTAGTGCCAATGCCACCCCTTCTCCCCCTTTTTAACAGTGTGTCTGCAGACGTTCTCAGACTACAGCAGGCTGTGAGATAACTTAACTATCGTTAAGGTGCTGATTGTTGATAAATGTAATACAGTAATACAGTAAGAGAGAATGTATGAATGTCAAAATTACCTTTTGACCGGATCACATGCTATCCCGACCATAAAGACTTGGTCCGTATGGATCATGGACTGTGTTCCATTGTGCTAAAAGTAAACCGTCTGTGACTCAGACTGGAGTCACAGATTGGATGACTTTGGACTTGACTTGATCAAAACAAAATCATTAAGGATTTACAACTCAACTTGGACTTCATCACCAATGGCTCATGACTTCACTTGGACTTGAGCCTAATAATACTTTTTTCCATCTCTTTTTATTCACATTTTTCAGTAAAGTGACAAATATTTGTAAATGACAATGATACAGTTCTGAAGTAGTTTGTCAACAAACCCATTCCCCTCCCTCCCTCCCTCCCACCCACCCAATTTCGTCCTTCAATGATAATTATAATGATAATAATACATCAATGGTCTCTCTCAACACTTCTGCCTTATTTCATTTAATACCGTGTTAAATTTCATCTTTCTTGAACTGCGACATACTATTATTATTTTTTTTAACTTAATTTTATTATAATCATTATTAGATACGAAACATAGTATTTTTATTTTCTTGTCATTGTCAAGATTCCAATGTTCAAAATGCCTAGGATTTTTTCTATCTGAATTAACACGTTACGTGGAAACTGTCAAAAGTGAGAGGCAGAAACGTGCGAAACTGGAGACAGACAGTCCTCGAAATAAAGGTAAAAGAATGATAATGGTAAAAAAAAAAAAAAAACACATGGGTAAATGAATGAGTGATCATTAATAAGAGAATACCAGTATACTGGAAAGTAAACAAGAACAAATAAATTAATAACGTAGAAAAGTAAATACATAATAAATTAAAATAGAAAATATATGTATATGTACTAAGCTGTACATTCACACATACACAAACATGGATATATACATACACAGGGCCTAAAAGGACAGTGAAAATAAATAAATAGTTAAAACTAAAAGTTGGGCAGAAGTAAGGGGTGGGGGTGGATAGCAGCTTGCACAGAGAGGTAGAGGAGTTAGAAGAGCAATTTAGTCTTCATCTGAATCAGGGGATAAACTAAGAGAGTTAACATATAATAGAAAAGGACTCCATGAGCTTTGGAATGTTTTAGCAGAGCCTTTAAGTGAGAACATAATTTTTTCAAGTTTTAGATTATAGAGAACTTCTTTAATCCAACGACCATGTGATGGGGCCGAGCCAGCTTCCAATTGAACAGGATCGTGCAACGGCACGTTTTGTCTCCACAGAGAGGGTGATGTCAGGGGATATGTCGAAAATGGCTGTGGATTAGGAGGAATGGTCTGGCCGTATGCCCTACTTATCGCGTCGAAAGCGCTCTCCCAAAAGGACGAAAGTTTATAACATATGAATATGATTGCCAGGGGATTGTTTGCATCTATTGCAGGTATCACTAACAGTCGAGTAAATTCTGGATAACTTTGCATTAGTATAATGAACTGTATGGAGGACTTTGCATTGGATAAGGCTATGGCAGGCACATATCGAGGAGGAATGGACCAGATTTAGAGCAGATTTAGAGCATTAGAGTCCCATTGTTTATCCGTTATGTCCATATTCAAATCGCTCTCCCACAAGGCTTTTATTAAAGCTAGAGAGTTTGCGGCGGTTGAACCCAGGGAGTTGTACAGCAGAGTTTGTTAAGTTATATTTGGAAGAAAGTTCAGCGAAGGACGAGAAGATTCCGTCTTTGTATAGGTCTTTGACAGCAGTGATACCACGACTGTGCCAAGTTTTAAATGTAGGGTCCGTGCTTGAAGGTGTAAATATGTGGTTTTTAAGTAGTGAGGTCAGAGCGGAGGGGCCCTGTAAGCCCAAGTTTTTCCTGAGCTGGCTCCATATTTTTAACGAAGTCAACTCAATTGTGTTTCCACTGTCAAGTTTTAAAGGGAGGGGGAGTGAGGAGCATAAGGCGGAGCGCAGGGAAAAGTGTGGGGTTGCCATCTCCAGGTGCACCCAGGCCGGGAGGGAATCGGATCCATCACCCATCCAGTGCAGAAGGTTTTGCACGTTAGCCGCCCAATAGTATCGCCTGAAATTAGGGAGTGCCTAAACCTTTACTCACCAAGATTAGGCTACATGTTTTTGTGGAGGAAAATTATTGAATCCACTGTAGATGGCTTCAGCGAGGTCCTGCACTCAGCTAGTTAAATTTTGGCCAGAGGAATGTTGCGATCTTGTGGAGGTCCTGTATTATCACTTTACGCGCGAGCCAGTTTTCGTGCCGTTTACGCACGACAGCTTGCTGAGGGGAGTCCAGGGCATTGGGCTGACAGTGGCGTTTCAGTTTCTCACACCAGAGACACACACGATTAAGTGTTGGATACTTGTCTCCCTCAAGTTCCCGCTGTGCTTCATAGTACGGCTTCAGAAAGTCTATCAAAAAGCCCAGTGTGTCCGGTGCTATTTTTTCCAATGCGCGTGCTCTCTCCTCGTTCCTCCAGCTTTTCATGGAGCTCATGATAAATGGCCTGAATCGAAGTCAGTGTGAGCCACACCTTACTGAACCGAGTGTCTCCCATTTGCAGCAATGTTGTTGACAGTTGCGCAGCCAACCCCGACTGTTTAACGTACCTCACTAATGCTTTAGCAGCAGAAATGGTATCTCCTTATGGAAGCGATTAGTGATCAAAATTCAAATGCATTAACAGAAATGCTTCTTAATTTTCAGGATATGGGTGTATTATTTGACTCAAAAATAAAATGATGATTAATTTATCTAATTTGAATTTTAGTTTTCAACTTCAAAAATGCACATTCTTTGACTAAATTAAAATGAGGAAGAAAATTACATTTGCTTTATCATTTTCAAAAAATGCCCCGCTACATTTGTATCAGAATTCAAATGATTTCCGCGATGCAGAAAACATGGACGGAATCACAGTTTGGCAATGAAAATATCATAATCAACAGTACACAGAATATCGTTGGATTTGCCTCAACATGGGTGTGATTAATTTTTTTTTAAATCTACGTTTTTCAGTGTTTTTATAAAAATATGCTGAGTTTTAAGCGCAATTGGTGTACCTGTAGCTGCACGCACGCACGCACGTCTCGTACTTTTCTACCGTCGTCAGTGTATCTTGATCATTATCTTACTGCAAACCTACC